GAGAGAGAGATTGATATTATAAGTATGGACAGAACTTTTACTTAAAATATTTCATAGGAAAGGAAACAAACAAAACGGCAGACATAATCCTCAGCCTCACAGTTTATCAATAAAAAACATTTCAAAGGCAGGAATGCAACACAAATTCGGTAGAAATTTAGAGACTCTGTGTCAACGCAAGTGAAGAGACTGAATTTTATGGAAAAATCTCCAGCCCATGTGGGTGAAGGTCACGCTTGGGTAGTTGACCCGAATCACCGGACTTCACTAGATTTCTGGCAATCCCTATATTATTCATAACTCAATATATGCGTAGGAGGAGGGCAAGTAAACAGTGGGTGGTCACAAGAACCAGCTGCACCCTTTGTAGGCTGTCGGCAGAATCATAACACACTAAAAGGCCAGAAAAGAAATCAAACAGGAAGGAGGTTGGGGAAAGCTTCCTCGGTACTCAAATATAAAGCTCTGTGTATATCAAACAAAGTAAAAGTAATGTCCCTGCTGTTGAATCAATGACTTGAAAATGGAACGTTTCAACATAAACATGGAGGAGCACTGACAATATATATGAAAAAAGCAATGACTCAGGAATTAAAGTGACTAGGGAGCATGTCTTTTAAATTTTTAATTGTTGCAAAGCAAGATACACTGACAAACACATTCAAGAGTTGAATATATATAATATATAAAGGAATCAGAACTCTCAATTTAAAAAAAAATTAGTTGGACCCACTCTGGTCTTTATCTTGAAAATGTATGCTTTTCAATTCAGTACTTTCAGTACTCAGAATCAGTTAAGTAAATAAATAAATATTTTCTATTTCTTCTTTGATAGAGAAGAAATAATTGTACATTAATACAGGAATTGGGCTATGAAGATCGCACTAAAATACCCCTAGAGAGAGAGAAAATACCCAAGATTTGTACCAAAGGATGAAAGTAATCATGACTCAGATGTTTCTCGGTGGTATCTCTCCCGTCAAGACAAAGTAGTTTCTTCATATTAGAGAAAGGGCATTGGTAAAACTCTCCGCCCCCCCCCCCCAAAAATAATAATCTACAAATCACCATTATAATCAATAATCATACTGTATTGAGGGGGAAATAGGACGAGGAAGAAAGATCAGATACATTTGAAACAGAGACAATTTTTAAAGTTAAATTGAAACTTTACATTCTATGACCATCAACGCTTTCAATATCCCTCTATTACCCCCCCCCCCCAAAAAAAAAGATTTAAAATTCAAAATTGTCATCATGATTGGTAACATTTTTGACAGTAGAGACCTATTATGTGTACATGATGTACGGCATCTCCTAAAAGTAAACTAGGAAAAAAATATAAAATAAAAATATTTTGGTACAACAAAAAATGGTGAATATATATTTTAAGCAAAAAAGACCCTACCTGAAATCAATCCCCTTGCAAAGCAAAAATCCAAAATTTCAACAAAAATGAAAAAGAAACAACTTTAAACAAGGGATTATTTATAAATACTCTTCCAAACCCTAGATCAGGCCTGTCGAGAGGGGGGGGGGGGGGGCAATGCCCCGGGGCCCGGGGCTTGAGGGGGCCCGCAAGCACGGGGAAAAGAGAGAAAGAGAGACAGAAAGAGAAGAGAGAAAGAAAGAAAGAAAGAAAAGAGAGAGAGAGAGAGAGAGAGAGAGAGAGAGAGAGAGAGAGAGAGAGAGAGAGCATATTATGTTGGCATGTAATAGATATGCTACAGTAAAGTGATTGAATATGCTTATGTACTTTGTTGGGTCATTATATTGCAGGTGAGGGCGGGTGGGACGGGGGGAGGAGGGGCCCAAAGGTGATTGCTGCCCCAGGGCCCGACCTGGCTCTCGACGGCCCTGCCCTAGATGCACATCATAAGGTAATAATTACTCAAAATTTCAACAGTAACACTTCATAAGTCTCATGTATTTTTAAGAATTGAAGCTAAATTAGTCATTCACAGCCTCTATAAACACACACAAATGATACTGAAATTCCTTCCCAGATAATCTTTCCAAATTGTCAGCAATTCCTCTTTCAGAAAAATGTAATCTCCCTAGTTGGACCATTTTTATGATATTATACACACTTTCTTCTCGATGCTTGAAAATTATTGCTTCCATATTTATATCTTGATTTTTATTCTATTCTCTTTCATTTTTCGAGAGAAGTTTCTTTTTATATATTTTTAAATCATAGCTTTACTTGCTGATAGACTTCTAGAACTAGAAGCTTGCAGTTTTACCCTGTTATATTATTCGAGAAAGTACAAAGTGAGCTATAAAACCTTTATAACTAATTATTTTTGTTGAAAATAAAATTGACGTCTATTTTAATTTCATTAAGCATTCCACACACAATTTTGCCCCAAATACTCACTTTGCAATCAAACTCCAAAGCCCTTTCAGCCTTTCAGACAAACTAAACTGAACACTTAGAAATCAAAATTCAAGACAGAGATCTTGTAATAGACACAAATATAAAAATGTGTAGAATCTAAGCAAACATGCACATTAAAAACACATTTAAGATTTTATTATATATGCCCCTCACAATATAAAAAACACAGACTTCTTCCAAAGTGAACTTAGATCTAGTAGTAGATTCTAGTAGTCTCATATCTCTATCACACAAGTAAGTAACAATTTCTTGTAGGAAAAACAGGAAATTGGACATAGGCTACTGCACGGTGTAAGGTAAAGTGTACAAAGAAGTAGATATAGTCTTGGACTAGTGATAGAAAAGAGACAACCCTGTAGGCCTAGCATTACTAACAAAGAAAAAAAAAAGTCACCTAGGCCGGGTGGGGGTTGCTTGTTAGTAAAGGTAGAAAAAAAAAAACGTGCCTCGCGACAGTGGAGTTAAATTAACAACAAAACAGGGAAAACAAGAAAAAAGTTTACCTTTGAACGAGATCGTCAGATACGTCCGCCAATTCAAACTTTTTACCTCGCTTCAAAAGTTCTGATGGAGTTTTAAACTGTCTTGAACGAAGCGATGGGATCGATGGCTTTGCAAAAACCGTCGCCGCTGATGCCATCCCTCCAACACCATGTACTGACCCTCTGCACTGCAACCTCTTGTCTACGACTGCCTTGTGTTCTTGCGATTCCTGTGGGTTGTCTTCCACAAAGCATTCATGTTGCATTCCATTTCTTTTGCAAAACTTGGTCAAATCATATCCTTCCCTCATTGCAGAACTCTCATTATCCAACAATCCAGTTTCCACGCACCCGACTGTCGCCATCATGGCCACCACCATCCCCTTCTGACGTCATTGAATTTTGTGTAGTTTCCCTTTCTCGGCTTTGCTTTGTGACGTTTTGTGGGGGTTTTCCACTTTTTCTGGACCGTAATGGCCGCCACCAGTTCTCATTCAGAGTAGCCAACGACTTGAATCGGGCGGAAGACAAGTTGAGAAGTGCAGGTCTTCCCTGCTTTTTAATGTGTCTAGGTATGTCATCTTTTTAGTAGAAAAAATAGATGTAAGGTTTGTGTGTCTCCTGCGACTTTCTCGTTTGCAACGGTACCGAAGGAAGTAGAGACGTAGATCTAGAATCTGGAGATCTTACAATCATTTCATTACAATCGCAAGTCTGGCTTATACTTATGGTTTGGACTTGGACTTCTGGATGAGGACAGCAATCCGTCCAAGTCCAAGCGGTTTATTATTCTAGGTAGATCTAGATCTAGAATCTAGATCTAGCTAGGATCTAGAATTGGGTAATAAGTTACGAAAAGTTAGAGTTTACCCATCATAATGATCATTCCCCTGGCCTGATAACTGTCGTTTTCCATACAAGGAAGCATTCTTGGCGCTTTTTCGGTAGTTACCACCTAGTGACATGCCGTTAAACGTAGATCTAGATGACGCATCTTTCTGATTGGCTGCTAATTTTAGTAATGTGATGTCATCTGGGATACCCACAGACTATTTTTATAGGAAGGCCGTAGAGGTACCGCATAGAATTAGAATGACGTGTGTCCGGCATTTCGGAATTCCAGTATTGACACCGTACGAATGTCAACAATTTCCTTCGTTGAGACATTGACGGGTTTGAGCTTCCTAATTTTCCGGTTTACCGCGTCTATTAAATTCATTCTTCAAGAACGTATCCTCTAGTTCTACCGTATAAAAGAGACTAGATCTATACTATTCTAATTCATCATCGGAGCACCACATCATATCACATTACCGGCATTCCTGGAAAAACATCGCACCAAAGCATCATGCCATCCCATTGGCTATATTTGCATTAGTCACATGATTGGAGGTGTGTTCCGGTCTGACGTCACACAAAATGGCCGCCTTACCTAAAAATAGTTTGCGCCCTACGTTTAATCGCATGTCCGTACCCTGCAATCGTTACTCATCGGTTTTGGCCTCAAGAGTAGGGGGGTTTCAGGAGGGCTGACCTAGTAAAAGTATGGTTGGGGGTTTCAGGGGGGCATAATTTGATGTTTTCCAGCTGTTTTAATATCTCAGCTCGCCACATATCAAACGTATAGATCTAGATCTAGATATATATATAGATGTAGATCTAGGCAAAAAAAATATTAAAAAGTGGGGTGGGAACTACCGAAAAAGCACCGCATTCTCACCCCGGGTGATCTGAGAATAAAAATACCATCGACCTCTCACCCCGGGTGAGACCACCAGTGTTGGCTATTCTCGCCTGGTGTGAAGCAAGACCTGTTTTTCCTAATTTCTAAATAGGCCTACTCTATCGGTGTGGATGATCAAGTTGACAAAAACATAGGTTCTAGATATCTAGATCTAGAAAAAAATGATGTTGTTATAATATATATAGGCTGTACTATAGTTATTCGCACAGGGTGTGTCAATACTAGGAATTGTATTCGCACAGGCGAATACTATACATGTATGTGTATTTGAAATTTTATTCGCACAGGGTGAGTGAATACAGTGTGAATACTATGAAATTTTCTTCGCACAGGGTGTGTGAATACTGTGTGAATACTATGAAATGTTATTGGCTCAGGGTGTGTGAATACTATGAAATTATATTCGCACAGGGTGTGTGAGTACTACGAAATATGTTATTGGCACAGGGCGTTTCAAAGTCAAAGGAAGGAGGAAATTAATTGGGACTAGCATTTCCTCTTTTTTTTTCCCTCATCGCGTAGGGAAAAAGATCATTACACGATAGTTCACTCCTCTCTTTGAGCCAATTAAAAAAGCGAAGGCCTTAAAAAAGTGTCCTCAAAATTTGGTGGCACCCTCTTCAAAAAGTGCAGACTTTGCGAACAGAGTCCTACTTGTGTGAAAAACAATAAAAGTTAAATTAACAGACTGTGCTTTTATCCTATTCTTCTTCTGGAGAAGCGAAAGAGAGCTTCAAAACAAAGACTCCAGCGCCATCTGAAGCAATGCGCGGACTTCTGCAAACACTTTTCGGGCTGAGTGAACAATCTTATTATAAATGTGCTATCTTTGGTAGGGATGGATCTAGATCTAGGATCTAGTCTATCTAATTCTAATTGGGCATTGCAATACAAAAAAACCCCACTCAAATTATAATTCGAGTTGTGCATTGTGTCAATTATAATGAATCAAATCTCTCTTTTTTTCGTTTTTTGTTTTCCTTGCGCCTTGAGAGAGAGAGAGAGAGGAGAGAGAGAGATGAGTGCATGATGCTTTTACCCTAAAACTGAAACAAGTATGATATTATTATACTAGTGTACTGCTGTTTTAACATTTAAAGCCTTTGCCAAAAGGTGGGATTCCCTGGGTGTGACAAATGAGGTCCAAAATCAGCGTAGGCTCGTCCTGTGCGAATAGAATTATTTCTTATTCGCACATCCGGTGTGAATAATATAAACTCTTATGCGCTCACCCGGTGTGAATAAAATTAATTCTTATGCCCACAGCCGGTGTGAGTAATCACTTGAAAGTAAACTGTCTAATTTGGTCGTCTACAAACGGCTATTAGATCTAATTTCACATTTCAAGTCGAGCCGAACTACGCGCGTCGCCATTTTGTTTTGCCCGGAAGTTCTCGCTACTCCTCTCTCTCTCTCTCTCTCTCTCTCTCTCTCTCTCTCTCTCTCTCTCTCTCTCTCTCTCTCTCTCTCTCTCTCTCTCTCTCTCTCTCTCTCTCTCTCTCTCTCTCTCTCTCTCTCTCTACAGCACTGAGTCTCAGTTTGAATACAGTTACAGCTCAATGTTTTGTTTAAATAAAACGCCGCTTGGCCCTTGACAACTCTTCCGAAAGTGCTACTAATACTATCGCTCAGTATGCCTATATGGCCATGCCATGACTTATGACATTCGTACAGAGTAGTGATTTTAACACTGTGCCGTTACATCTCACCGATCGGCGAGAACGCCGAACTTACTCTCCCTTCACAAAATGCCGATTGGTGATGTTTACAACCCGGTTTCTTTGGATTTCCCCCCAAATGCCAAATGCTTGTGGTGACAAGGGTTTTTACTATGGGCCTTGTGATGGCAAAGTGTTAAGTCCCAAAATAAAGCACCTGAGAACGCTCATAAAGATTTTGCTGCAGTTAAGGTTCAAGTAGGAGATGATGAACAAACTGTATGAGAACCCCACTCTGTATATAATTATTTTCTCTTCAAAAGAATGTCAGTAGAATAGTTATCAGGGAAATCTGATTGTCTGATCTTACAAGTTTTATAATTGAGGATTACCAAAATCTACCTTCAATAGCAAACATTCCAACAAAAACTTGAAAATTACTATTAAAAGCTACCGTCTGTATAGTATGAGTGTGCAAATCGAATGGAGGGACATTGGTGTAAGCCTCGGTAACCTCCCTTTATGAGAATAATGAAATTTTTAACTCGAAAACATTTTTATGCACATCATATGTCATATAGAGGGACAGCTCTTCTACTCCGGCCTTTTGTGTTCTATTACCCTGCTATAGTTTGGTTTTAACTATTACTCCAGAATGTGTTGTGTATGCATTTAAACTCAAGGCTGACACACATAGCACTTTAAGAAGCAAAAGAAAAGTGTTTTTTACCGTTCATGTAGGGTATTAAATAGCTTCGTGACTTGTATAATAACTTCTGGAACGTTATCTGGCAGTTGTCACACCTATACTTCTGCCACATGATCTCCCTGAGTTCGGTTTGAACCAGAGTGTGTATGATATTTAATATTTACAAAAGACAATAGAAGACACCAGATAAAATTAAAGAAGCAAAAGAAAAGTGTTTTTTAACCATGTTGGTATAGCTTAGTGACTTGTAAAATATTTTAAGCATTATCTGTAAATTCTCACACCCAAACTTTTGCATTAGTTATCTTCCTCATTTTCTGTATTTTCTGTTCCCTCCTTCTTTTCCTCCTTTTTGTACTGCTGTTCTTTCAATTTTCTCTGTATGTTCCTGATTCTTAGTGGCTGATGTTGATCTACTTTGGTATTGCTGAATAATTTATCACCCCTGCTGACAAACTGTAGAGCGCTTTTGTCCATCATGTTTAGGATATAAACATGTACTCTCACCTGAATCAAAACAGTCACTGACCTGTTGATTGTTATACTTTCAAAGATCATTTTACCCATCCTACCAAACAGAGGTTGTTGGTTGTTTTTTTTGGCAAACATTTTGTTTTAATCCCTTCAGAGAAACCAATTTGGGGGTTGTGACCATTCGTTTAATTTAAATTAAATGTTTCTTTCCATGTTCATGTGATGGACCTCAGCAAACAGTTACTGTTTAATTACCAAGGTTTTTTGTATTTGAGGGGGTGGGGGGTTAATCTCAAATATGCCATCTTTATTAAAAATTTTTCTTCCATGTATACATACCGTACAACTTCATAAAGAGCCAAAAATTTGTTTCATGCAAATGCTGATGAAGTTTGTATTTTTATCTGTTCGGTCCGAAGAAACTCATGACAATTCCCTGACAGTTACTCCAGAATTGGGGTGAAAATATCGAATTTTTTGTTCTACAAGTTCAAACGTTATTCTGTTTAACCTCTGAAGAAAACCAAAATCTTATTAGAAACAATTCATTTTTTTATCATGAACCAGTGATTATCATGTGTACTATTGAGACATTATTATTTAAGCCTTTTTTTTTTCAGTTTATCATTTTTCAGGTACTTTAGCCTCTTATAATTCTAAAATCTCAAAAAGTTGTTAGACTAGATGTCTGAAACTTGGCATGGTTGTTGTTTTCTAATACTTAAAGGCAGTTTCTCAATTTTTTTCTCGAATTTTGTTATAGATTCCGTTGTAGTTTTTGGAGGTTATATAAAGAATATAAATTATAATAAACTCTATATTTAAAAAATCGAAGATGGTGACTGTTGCCATGCATGACAATGCATCTTTGGGGTTATTTTTCACCTGCATATTTTTCATAACTTACTTCCATCTAATGAACCATGATGTGAAAAACCTTTAAAGATTCAATATTAAACTAGAAAAATCAGTAGCGAGTTCCCTTAAGTGTCTGTTTGATAAAATATTTTGATTGTTCTTTTCTCGAAGACACTAGCACTGCCACACCATGATGGAAACATTCTTGGAGGATGCTGAGAACTCCCTGCATCACAGAACGAATACTGGCAGCAATGGGTCGGGTTCGTCAGATGAATCAGACGACCCCCTGGATGACCCTTTTCTCTATGACAAGTTCCTTCCTGACCCGTACTGGGCCAAAGCAGAGCAGCTGGAGCAGGCCAAGCCAAAGAACCTGGTTGACCCAGGCCTATTCCGCTACAACAAACGTGTGTTTGTCACCAGTCTCCCAGCTCTGCTGCTAGTGCTTGCGCTTGGGGGTGAAACGTGAGTGAAACTTGTTAAGCAAGAAGTGGACTACATTCTCCCGTTGGCCTTTTTCAGAGCTAGATTATGAGTCAAATAATTACAGGGATGAAGAAAATGTTCAATCTCTTATATCTGGAATCTAGAATGTCAAAAATTGTTGGGCTGTCCTTTGAAAATGATTTAATGTTTTTAAAATGCTTAGATTGAATTTATAAATGGTATGTTTAACTTTGGAGATCACTGTTGATACAAAGTATCGAGTATAGTTGCAAGTTTTTGTGACAGTAAAAGTTAAACTCACTCAACAAGTATATGTCCTTGCTCTGTACTTTGAAACTTTAATTTGTTTTCTTTGTATAACTCTATTTAATAAAAAGCTTTTTCATGTGTCTGGACCAAAAAAATCTATTCATTATGTTCCTACTAGACTGTGGATAGACGTGTTTGTAAATATATTACCCATTCTTACACTGTTTTAAAAAAAAAAAAGGGATTCCCTTATGTTTAAAAGGTCTTTTTGACTCACCATAGATATATCAGTGTCTTCTGCAGTGTTGCAAATTGTTTCCCTGTGGCTTTATATTTTGCCTAAGTGGGTTGTACTTATAATAGATGATTGGCTTGTTACAAGAGTGCTCTTTTAAAAAAAAAAACCTTCAAATGTTTCCTTTCTACTCTTGCAGTCTGGTCTTGATTACCGCTGTCGGAACAGCTGTGATAACCATCATGTCTCAGATGGGAGACAGTCGAAGGTAAGTGGAACGAGTGTTTTTTTGTGTAGAATATCTATAAATCCTTAAATAAAAAGGAATTATATGGAATGCTACGCATATACAAAGCAATTGTCAAACATATATATGACTTTGTGTTTTTGTATGTATACAAAATTTTGTGAATTGCCTTTAAGATTTCAGTAAATGCTCAGTCTGTTTTAAAGAACCCCAGTATTTTATCAGTAATGTTATCCCAGGAATTGATATTGTATTGCCTTCATTTTTTTTGTCTCTTTTGTTAAAGACTTGCACCAGTTCTGTTAAGGTAGCTGAACAACAAATCTGAATAGTGAAATATCTCATTGTCAAATGTAGTTCGCCAATTACCATCTATTTTAATTAAGAACAACCGAAGATATTTGTCTGCACAGCTCTGTTGAAATTTGAATGTTGCGAAGGTCATGAAGATGCCTAGGTGTGTATATATGAGTGTTTTGGTGCTTTATTGACATGAAAGGGGATGATTTCCAATAACCATTCAATTGCTCATGTCCACAGATGTGTGATATTCTTCATTGTTATGTTCATTCCGACCCATGCCTACATTTTGGCAACTGTTCTTCCTTTGCTTTGGTGAGTTGAGAGATATAGGGCGTGGGGGGGGATAAGGGTTGTCCCACTTGCTTCTTTTCATTTAGTTGATTTTATGGGGGTTTTGGGGGTTTTTTTTGCTTTTAGCAGGACTGCATTTTATGGGTATTTTCCCATTTTGAACTCGTTCGACTGCCATACTGGTAAAAGTGCCTAAACTACAGAATTTATGATGGGCTCAGAAACTATTTTAAAAATTTAGTTTATGTGCTGATCAAGAACTCTGAAAAAATTATGCATTTGAGCTTTTCTCTAATCTCAAAAATGAATTGAATATGCCTTTGTACTCTTTGATGTCTTCTCTTTCTCCACGAGCTTGTCAAACTCTTTACATATGAACCAAATATCTGCCATTAGTTTTGCAAACACTGCTAGATTTGCACCACTAAGAATGGTAAAGGTAGAGAATGTTTTTTGGCATGCGTACAGGTCTGTAGGGTTCCCCTCATTGATGGACATATTTGTTTCTTGCAGGTTGTCCATGTGGCATTTCTTCCTGGTGGTGCTGACCAATCTGTTCATCATCTTGACTGCGGCATGGGTTCTGCTACAATTCAAAGCCTTCAGGATGGAGGAGACAGAGTTAGCATGTGTGAGTGTTGTTTTGGTGTTCCAGTGTTCTTTACAGGAGATAGGTGGGCCATCTTTGTTAGGTTTTTGTATGAGTTTGGTGCCTTCCTAGGGACTAATAGGGACAGTTGAAATTGTCCAAGACAACTTCCCATTTTGAGGAGAAAAGTGATTGTCCCAGACAGGTGGACTTAAGAAGGTGGGCAGGCTTTTGAGTGAGGTCTTGTGTATAAAACTTTTTTTAAGTGTTGCTTTTTTTTTATCTTGCAGCTGAGGAGGTTGGGGTGTTATTATTCCAACTTTTCATGGAACGCAATTCATCTAGACCCCAAGTCTATTCTCGTTCTGTAACTTTTAAGGTTTTCTTATTGACTGTCTCGGTAGAATTGTGTTCCTTGTTCGCCTGAGGAAGTTTGTTTTTTTAGTAAGAGGGTTGCGGCACTTGCAACATCATTAGGTCATATAAATGCTGAAGATTAAAGGTGTTACAAGAAAGTAACAAGCACAAAAAAGAAGGAGAGATATGGATGATAGTTGTTTGATAGGAAAGAAGAAGCAAACCACACTAGAGCACCTGCCAACCACGCTCACCAGAGGAAGACTTCTGCTATCTTCTTCATAGTATCCGATCACGCACTTCTCTGGGATGGGTGTAATCACAATTATCTTGTGTTTTGAATTTGTTTCATTACTGAGTGAGGAAAATTATGAAATAACTAATCATCGGATCCCTTGGTGGAATATTCTAGAAAGTAAGTTGAAGAATTGTGTCAGTCCATAACTAAATCAAAACCATAGATTTCCTTCTTTACATCCAAACCAAGACTATTGAGTGCTGGTTGCCACAGAGAAATTCAAATGCCCAATGCATATTGAAAGAGGGTGTCTAGAAAAGTAAGCAAAGTACACTAGTTTCTCCACACAGCTCTGGTGTGGTTTGCTCCTTCTTTCCTATCAAACATCTGTCATCCTTATCTCACCTCCTTTTTTTTTGTATGTTACTCTCTAATAGCACCTGTAATCTTCAGTACTTATATGGCCTAATTGTGTTGCAAATGCCTTAAAACTCCTACTATAACTAAGTGAGTCCAGACTTAACCTCAGAGTTTTTTCACTGACCTGTTGTGAACATTTTTGTGTCCTGGGAGTGGGGTGAATGGGCTGTAGATATATCTGAGTTGTAGACATTTGTCATTGATGTAGTTTCCCTTTGTTCTTCAGATTGTGGAGCTTTTGTTGTTCACCCTGTATCCTCTGGCGTGCACCTCGCTAGTCAGCTGGGCCCTTGGTGCTGTTGTCTCCATTTCTCTCATTCCAGTCATTTTTTCCATGATGTGGTAAGGTGCTTTCATTTATATACCTGTACCAGACCAAAAATCACGTTACTATGTGAGGCAATGGTACTTTGTTGATCTAGTGGCCATCTGAGTTTGAGCCTTTCAGTGTGGAGGCAATTGCATTCCCCATTTGATGTATTCTGGGTTTTTTAAATCCGATTATTGCTTCTCTCTCTGTGTCTCTGTTACCCCTTTCTGTCTGTTTCTCTCTCTCTCTCTCTCTGTCTCTGTCTCTGTCTCTCTTTCTCTCTCTCTCTCTCTCTCTCTCTCTCTCTCTCTCTCTCTCTCTCTCTCTTTCTCTCTCTCTCTATCTCTCTCAGGTACAAATAAATCTGGTACCGTCTACTGGAAAATTTAAGTTACCTTCCTCCCAGTTCCTTTATTCGAGAGCACTTCAATAGAATTGCTGCTATTTTCAAATTAAAAATGCCCTCAGAGAGACTCAATGTACACTTCATGTAATGAGCCAGGTTTCAGGGTTTATCTTGTATCTTTGGATTATATTTTTATATAGCGGTCTGATTTTGGGTGCCATCCACATGCATCTTGTAGCTTTAACTGAAAGCATGTCATAATGGCCTCTACAGGTTTGTCTTGCTCCAGTTGTACCTGGTTCCCACATTGTCCTCGTTTCGAAGCCAGACAACAGCAGAGGAAAACCTGGACGTGATTCAGGTTCCAGTGGTGGTCGTCACAGTTGTGGGCTTTGTCCTCTGTGGCCCGCTCCTGCACGTTATGCTGGCCGTGTTTGCGGTGGATACGCAGCCCTTGTTCTCTGTGATATCTTTAGTAAGTTGAAACTGTTCCGAAAACAAGGAAAGTGTGTTTTGATAGGTTGGTGGAGTCCCCCCCAAAATGGATTTTTAATGGTTTAAAGCAGTATTTTTTTTTTTGGTGAGGGGGTTAAGCATAATTTACCATATTCTGATAAATGATAAGCCTGGTCACAGATTTAGACAGGCTATGCTCTGTGATAACATTTATTTGTCCTGTGTATTCTAGTTGCAAAATATTTGCTTTCCCAGTATTTTTGGAAAGTACTGCCTTTTTTGCTCAATCGATGCACAAATGAACATAAAAGTGTATTGCTGTTTGGCACAAGAGTACTTTGTAAATATATATACAATTTGTGTGTGAATTAACACTCAAATTTTATACTGATTTTATTTATTTTTAAATGGATTTGTGGTAAGTTGCTGGCTGACTTAACTTTATAAACAGGCATCAAGATATCTGAAATGTAGGGTGTGCTTTTTAGCGCTAGCATGTAAACTTACGACATGATATGGAGAAGAATGCATAAGAAAAGCTTTCTGATGTAACAAACTGTTGTCCCTCATTTCTGAGATTCTCTCAAATTAGACATAAAATTACTTATTGAATTGTTACAATTGTTCAAAATGTGTTCGCGAAACTATGGATATGCACCAAATTTTGCAAGCCCAGTCATTATGAAGTTGGTATGAATTGATTTACAATACTGATATATTTTTTTGGGGTGTCCTTTCACAGACCCATCTGGCTTTCATCTTGTCCTTGACCTGTTTCCTATCAACACTGCTCAGTGTCAGGCAGATCTTTGAGTACATGGGTAAGATCATTCGCAAGGAGGAACATGGATTAGCTAATGACACTGAAACACTTACCCGCTTATGAATATACTATCTAGCAGGCACACTGCAAAAAATAATGAAAGGATTACGGTTTGTTTGTCTTTTTAAATAAAAGATTCAGTAGACAATTAAGTCATGTGATGTACATGGTGTAGGAGAACAATAATTGGAACATAGGAAATAGTGGGACTCAGGACATCGCACTTGTCTCCTGGTGGGAAACCAGTTTTATACGTCTTGACAGAAACATAGTAGTGTACTATGTACTTTTTGTGAAACCTATACTACTTTAGTTTATTATTTTTTTCTTTTTTTTTGGTGTATTTTCCACTTTTAGCTTCTATATATTGATATTCTCCCAGTTTACTTGTATGCTTTTATTGAAAAAGATGACTAAAACTTGTATTACATTTTTTTTTAAAGAACGGAAAGAAGACGTACAATCTTGAATAAGTCTTAAATATGCCTTATAATTTACAAGGATTTCTACTTTGTGCCCAGGTCTCCCCTATACAACGGCCATCTATGTGCGCTGGGTCAGTGGTAGTCTGTGTACCCTTTTGTGTTACCCGGTGCTACACACCTATGGCTTGGACTCCCACTTTCTGCCCCTGCTCCCCGTGGCCATCGCGATGTTCGCTGCCCTCGGGGTGGTTTTGGCCTTTAAGAGGAGGAGGATGATCATGGCTGTGAGTGTATTAGAGATTTAAATTAAATACCACCTGTACTGTTCCCTGTTTGAAATTTTGGTTAATAGTAGCAAATACTGTACATACATACTACTTACTTAACTGCCCAAGCCACCTACATACCTACCTACTTACCTACCTACCTACTTACCTACCTATCTACTTAAATACCTACCTTCTTAAAAAATACACAGTGTCACGCCAATACAGATTGTTTTTGTAACACTTACAAACAAATTGTTGCTTCTTGCCACTCTGAAGCACCAATTTTGTTACTTCAGGTTAGTATATCATACTTAAGGACACCCCCATCTATTCACTGATCTCCTTGAATGTGTTCCTGAAAAAAGACAAAAATTGTGGTTTTGGTGGAGAGTTGTAAAGTAAGAGAGAAGTTGCGAAGAATCATGTGTGTATCGATATTTTATATTGAAGATCGTGTGTGTTATGAAATAAAGTATGGGTTTTTAATTCTTTTGGATCAATTTAATGATTCGTGATATGATAGTCAGATTTTCTTCTTTTTTTTTTTTTTCTCGTGAAAATGAACTTTGCTAAGACTTTTTTACCTGAGACGTAAACAGTGCACATTCATTACAAGTAGAAAGTTGATAATGTTTATTATTACAGAGCATCTTGCGTATTCCTGGAATATCTTTTGTCCAAGGATGCAAAAAAAGATTAATATATTTTATTGACTCTTTTTTTGCTTTCAATTTGTCCAAATCGCTTAGTTTCTTTCTGTCCTTTCTTTTTGTCCAAATCGCAAAGTTCTACCGAGGTCAGTGATTAAGCTATTGGCTTTTGCACACAAAAGATGTGAGTTCGACTCCTGCATTGGAAAGTTTATTTTGTCAAGTGTCTCTATCTTTTAGATAGGATGCTGTATCTCACTACGCCCAGTTTGGCTGTGACAGTGACAGGCTTAAAGCTGCCTGCTTCTCAGATTATTTTAATTGCATCGATGGGTTTTTCATTTTCAATTTGGGTGAGTGGCGGGTCCCCTGATGTGGTTTGCTCCTTTTTTCCTATCAAACATCTATTGTCCTGATCTCTTTTCCTTCTTTTTTGTGTTTGTTACTCTCTTGTCACTCCTCTAATCTCCGGCACTTATATGACCTTATTGTGTTGCAAGTGCCTTAAAACTCTTACTAAAACTAAAGACATTTTCAATCTCGTATGAACTGAATACTGTTCTTTCTTTCTTTTTTTTTCTGTTGCCAGGTCCTTGCTTTGATTTTGTTCAGCAGTTTGACGGCTTTGTTCTTTCTTTGCATTCAAACCAGCTGTTCCTCAGATGGTCTAATAACATTTCCAATCACATTTTTTCTGAGTGCTGTTCTTTTTTTTTTCTTTTGCCAGGTCCTTGCTTTGGTTTTGTTGAGCAGTTTGGCGGCTTTGTTCCTTCTGTGGATTCAAGGAATGCCACACAACCTGCAGTATCCTTTGGCATTGAACTCAGCCTATGAGCTTCGTGAAATTTACTTTTGTTTATACACGGCGTCAGAAACAAAGGCCAACAACTCTTCTTCTTCAAAGTTGAAATATATCATGTTGATTTCTTTGTAATGTGTAACATCTGTTTCATTTATTTAATTCAAGAGACTGTCTCTTTTTCAAGAGAAAATCTGGAGCTTTTAAAAAAGAATAATATACAACTTGCTGTTGACTGGGGGATATGCGCTATCTTCTAATGCTATGCATTTTGTTTTTTAAGTTGACTGTCACGCTGTTCTAGATGTTTCTCTTTAACCATAAGTAGACATTACTTCATGGGCATTTTCCCTCTGAATGTGTTCTACCTAATGATCTGCATCAACTTTTTCTTGTGTTTGCTCTGCCTGTGGACGGCCTCTATAGACAACAAATCCATGCTTGGCTTCCTGCTCTTTGTACAGTCCCTAAGTAAGTCACATCATCATTTCCTCTTGTCTCTGTTACATATGCACATGTGATGACATTGGAGAAGATGGTACATAACTTCAATTTGATCGATAATGATAATTTTTATTGACGATATCGGTCTTTCCGCTGGAATGTTATATCTCTCTCGGCCCGGGCTGACCTTGAATGGCAGGGTCACAAGTCCGCCGCTTTGATGATCTAAATTGTGTTTATAGGGGGGTAAAAACACCTACACTTTAATTTTTATTTCTTTTTAATTTTTTTTCTGATTTAGCCTGATATTTTTTCCCTCGCCAGTGCTGACGGTATGCGAGGTATCCCTTCACAACGGTCAGTTGTACTCGACCTCCTTGCTCCAGCTGACCTCCGTGTCGGCCATGTACACCCTGCACCGCCTGCATGTGGCGGAGAAGATCTCGGGCGGGGCTGCCACCATGACCTCGGCCATCCAGTGCGCCAAGTCCATGGCCAGCTGTACCTCCCTGGTGCTGGACGGCGGGAAAGGAGAGATCAGTCTTCTGGAAATGGCTGCTCTTGGTTGCCTGGCGTACGCTGTGCTATCTGTCTTTGTCTACCACTCTACAGGGGAGAAAACTACTGCTCAGGTACGTGGTAATAGTGATGTTTACTTCTTATTTGACTTTTTTCTTTTGTACATTAACTGCTTAGAGTGACAGGAAAATGTTTAGTCACTGGTATTATTCGCCATTTGCCCAAGTATTTACTGTCGAACCTACTCAAACGGCCGTCTGTATAAGACAATTACTTGTACATACTGCCACTTCCTGTTTCTTCCCTTTGCATATTTTTCACATTATGTTGACACTGTAAGCAGGCCTCTTTTCTCCTTGACTGTGGGTGGCCATCTTAGACAGTATCAAGTGTACTTATACGGCTCTGCTTAGTGGCGAGGAGGCTTGTACATTGTTGCCATGTTTTGTGTACGGTACAGTTTTCACAGTGTATTGCTCCTGATCTTTTTAAATACATGCACATTTACCAATATATCTACGTAACTATTAAAAGATTTATGATAAATTCTTGTGATAAATTCTTGCAAGTTGTTTGCGACATATGCATCTGATGTTATATGTCGTATAATTGTCAGCTTTTTAAAAATTGTCATATTGATATTCTTTCATGAAAGTTGTATGTCTTATTTAGATTTTATGTATATATACATTTGCTTTTTGCCATTCCTGTAAAGCCAGGAAAAATTTTCACAGGCAGACGATAAAGTATTGCCTTATCCCATCCCATCTCATCTTATCTTATCTTATCTTATCTGAACATCAAGCAATTGATTTGACATAGCTCAGAAAGCATTGTAATTATGGTGTAGAAAACGTAAGAGGTAATTAATGTGAAGTAAAAACTCTTTTGTTAAAGTTATGGAATGTGTTAATATTATACTACTTCATTGGGAACCTCATTTGCCTTCTATAAAAAAAGAGTGAAATAGTTCCCCTATCTCTTTCTCTTTCCATGATCTATACCATCACTTTTGTGTTCTTCGTATGGGTGGTTGGCAGGTGCTCTGGTGTGATTTGCTCGTGCTTTCTTATCAAACATCGATAGTCCATACTAATTCTTCTTGTTCTTTTTTGTTTTTTGTTACTACTCTCGTGAAACACCTCTAATCTTCGGCACTTGTATGACCTAATTGTGTTGCAAGTGCTCTAAAACTCTTACTAAAACTTGTACTGTTCACTATTACTTTTCTTCCTCTCATTGTTCACCATCCACTCCACAGATGGGAAAACAGCTGTTGTTGCTGCTGGCTGCTGTTGCCGTGAACAGCCATCATCTGCTGTTGCCTCTCTCTCTGCTGATGTTCCAGGGTTATGCGTCTTACTCCAACATCATTGGTATGGAATGTTATTGTTTATACTTGTTATTGTTTTACTTGTTATTATTTCTTATGGGAATGCCCCTTGTGCAGTGATGTCGGTCTTTCACACAAGTAAACAAGTAAACTTGTTATTATTATGACAGTCAGTGATTGGTTTGTGTTGAAGTTCATTATTTTAGTGAGCTTTAGATTATATGGCAATGAGTTAATGACTGTATGTTAAATTGCTATGTAATCAGAAAGTGGCAATGTAGTTCCAGAGACACATGTAAAATCTTTTTTTTAGGGGGGGGGGGGTGATGTTAGTCTTTTACAACACTTGCAAAACAATTAGGTTATATAAGTGCTGAAGATAAGAGGTGTTTCAAGAAAGTAACAAGCACAGAAAAGGAGGAGGAGGAGAGATAAGGATGATAGATGTTTAATAGGAAAGGAGAAGCAAAACACACCAGAGCAGCTCCTTTCAGTGCCTAGAAAAAGGGAAAAGTGAAGGAAAGAGAAGCTAGGGAAGATGAAGAATGACGTACTGAGAATTTTGTCCAGTTGAATGGAAGAATTGGAAGATGACATGTTGTTCCTCAGATTCACAGAAAATAATAAGAGTGGAGGGAAATGATCACTAATATTTTGTCCAGATCTTACTTTTACTTTTATCCACCGCTTATATCCTTTTGGGTTTCACTGGAAGAAAGAGATGTCTCTCTTTCGCCAGCCAGAGAGCTTGGGTCAGAGGGATGCCGTGGGTGGTTAATGTTTCCCTGACTCCCCATCTAACACTTAAAAGAAAGAGCTTACCACTCACTAACATAATACTAACAAACTAAATTTGGCTTTCTCAAGAGACATGATGAAATATTTTTTTAAAATAATCAATTAGCTTTCAGTAGCAGCTGGACTCTGCAAGTGGTTTGAGGATGCTGCTGAATTGTCCTACTTCTTATCTTTCCTTCTACTGTTTGTGTCGTTATTTTTGCTTTTCCCTTGTACTGAAATGGCAGTTATTGGGTCAAGATGCTTCTCTTTTCACAAACAGCTGGAATGTCCAAAAAGTGTTATAACTTCCAGCAGATGTATCAGAACTCCGAGCAGATGTAGTGACAGTTTTCTGTATCTCTTAATGTAGTTTTAGTATAAGTTTCACAACACAAATAAGTCATATAAGTGCTAAAGATTAGATGTTGTTACTAGAGAGTAACATACAAAGAATAAAAGCTTAGTTTAGTTTAAGTAAAAGTTTCCTGGCACTTGCAACACAAATAAGCCATCCTGCCTAAAATTTAAAATTAAAGGTGCTACTAGAATTACGTTCAAGGAATACAGAGGAACGATAAGGATGATAGATGTTTCATAGGAAAGAAGAAGCTAACCACCTGAAGCACCCGCCGACCTCCCATTGTCTGTCTCTTTTCTCCTCATGTCCCTTTAGGTCTGTGGTGCCTGCTGTGCGGAGGCCTGACCCTGCTCTACAGCCAGACCACTGGCTCGACAGTCACGGCGTTCATCATCATCAGAGTGGCACTGTTGTTGAGCATCATGGGAGTCGTCATAATGCTGTTGCATCCTCAGCTCTCTTACAGCCTGTAAGTCTTGAACCTCTGTGACCTCAGTCTGTAGCCGTTTTTCCTTCACTTGTTACACTTTTTGACTAAAAGTCATTTTCTGTCAGTAGGAAATTTCCTTGCGTTTTTACTTCCAATTCCAAAGTAGAATGTTAAATATGCAGGACCATTCATTCATTCACAGTAAATTGTGAATGTACTACTACTACTAGTACAAACTCATGCTGCCGCTTATTTCCTTTACCCTTTGCTTCATACACACACGCACACACACACACACATATAGCCACACACTTTAACGCAAAGGACTGTCATGAGGCCAATATGTCTGACCAAGGTAGCAGGATGGAAAAAATAATCCTGTCTCTTTTATTCACAAATCCATTTGTAAGTGTCTTTCACTTAAGACGCTGGGAGCGTCCAGCGGTAATATCCCTGTTCCATATCAGAAGCCGTTTCATTTAGTGCTTGTTTGTCGGAACTATTCCCGATCCAAGTTTTTTAATAATGACTAAGCTTTTGTTTCTCAATTGAAAAATTGGAGCAAGCTTTTGGGGTTATAACAACATAATGCACTGTAGAAAAAACTAGAAAACGATGGATAAAACTCAGGGTTTGAAGAGTTAAGATAACAATATTTCATGTCTCTAAGTGCGGATCAACAACAACAATTACAGCTAAATGGACAGAAAATAACTCCTATGGACTCCTTGTCTGCGCTGCTGATAGACTTGTGTGTCTCTCCATGACACCTTATATCACGAACTGAAGGGAAAAAAGGTAGAGCAATTGGCCCTTAAATATTGATGTTTATGATGTTATGGTGAGGCTCTTTGCCCTTGCTCTCAGAATACATGAGATTGATTCCCACTCTATAAAGTTGTTTCAAGCAGGTAATTCTGTCTGTTATGATGGTGTATCCTTCTCCTCCCAGGCTAGCCTGACAATGAGTTGAAACAGGCGGAGTTGAAGCAGCCCAACTCCTAAATAGCCTAACTTTTGTGAACTTAACCATCGTTTGTCTGTAATGAGATTGTAAATTACTATTGTCAGCATCTTAATTTGTTTTCTCGTTACAGACTTTCCATCTTCCAGTGGGCTGAAATCCTCAGCTCCTTTGCCTTAGCAGTGCTGGTGTCCCACAGGCCCACCATGCACCCACAGGGAGTGTTCGTCTGCTCCATCCTGTTTGCAGTCTGTCCAGGCATCAGGGCTTGTCTCTATGTGAGTTATCTTCTCGTTTTGTCTCTGGGTTTTTTTTTTCTTTTTTAAAATGGGCAACTCCAATGTATTTTATTCACTCACTAAAGTAGGGTCAGTCAAAGCCCTTTTCTTTTCTTTTCTTTTTTTACAACAGTAGCAGTTTCCTGTGAAAAAGATTTGAAAAGAATAGGATCCTCATGCCAGTATAGCTTTCCATTGTTTTGCTTGTTTTTATTCAAGTGTGTAAACCTCAGCTAGACATACTATAGACTGTTTCAAGATTTGAGGACTTGGTGCCCGTAAAGAATGATTTGGCTGAGAGGAAATAATAATTAGGATGATATGTAAAATTGGTTCCCTCAAATTCTTATTAAAAAATGTATTTAAAAATCTGAACTTTTCTATGTTGACAAAGCTCTTGCGACTGGGCCCTTTCACCAGTCACAAGCGTTGAAGACTGACGTTTTTGGGGGTATTTCAATAAATCACCACAACTCTCAGAATTACCCTATTGTAATTATTTTTTGACACAGTAAAGTAACATTCAAGCTTAATCTAATACAAAAATCTAATGTTGTGTAAGTTTAATACTTTAATTTGTATGATTTTTTAAAAATTGGCATGAATTTGATTTTCCGAAAAATTTCCAGAGACGTGACAAGTAGAATGAAATTCACTACAACAACAAAAATAAAAGTTCAAAGTGTTCTGATTTGATTTGTATACATGTGCGAGTGTTTGGTGAAAATATAAAAGCTGGTCTGTGCATTGGTTCAGACCCATACACTGAATTACATGAGACAGATGTACGGCACGACGTTGTGATTTCGTTGCGCGAACAACAACACCAGTACTAGTGCTAGATCTAGCCCTAGAACTACGACTCGGGCCATCTTCGGGTACATATCCAGGATCCTAACTATCAGACACATCATATTCTGAGACACTAGAAATAGTTAAATGTACAGAAGTGTAGAAAACGGCGAAATTATGTGATTCTTGTTCATGCGACTTCTTTGACCGTTACTACGACGCGACTGTCGGATTACTATCAGCTGTATAGAAAAAAACAAAGCGCGAGTTCCGGTCTGTTCAACCCCAGTTGGGGTCACTGTCCTTCACCTTCAATAACTTAAAAACTACCGGCCCCAGAGATACGAAACGAAGTCTAAGTAGCTCAGGCTTGGCCAAACAAGGGTACGAGGCAGGTCCCGCGATCCGTGCGTGATTTGTAGAGCGAAAAAGAAATTCCAAAGTTGGTCACGCAGGGCTTGTGGGAGCCGACACGAGCGTCGCGGCGGGGGTCATGCAACTGTTGTGTGAACCGTCTGAAGTGAGTTAAAGTAGTGCTTCTTTGAGAGTGTGAGTTTGCTAGACTCTCTTTTAAAGCGATTGTTTTTTTATATCTGTTTCCAGCTGTGGTCAGTGTTCCACCCGCTCACTGCTGGTCTCTGTATAGTCAACAGTGCTGCTCTTCTCATGCTCTTCTTCATCTGCTTCCTTATCACCGAATGGACAGAAGCCACAGAAACCATGATGAAAACCAGGTACAATCAGTTTCATTACTTTTCCTCATTATGGTGGTATGGTTTGATGTCTGTTTGACAGCCAGAGAAGTGGTGGTTGACGGGTGCTCTAGTGTAGTTTGCTTCTTTCCTATCAAACATCTGTCATCCTGATCTGGAGATTCCTTCTACTTCTTTTTTGTATTTGTTACCCTCCTGTAATACCTCCAATCTTTGACGCTTTTATGACTTTATTGTGTTGCAAGTGCTGCAAAACTCTTACTAAAATTAAACTTAATATGGCCGGAGAATGCATTATTTTATTGCTCTGCCTTTGTCATTTTTGTTGGAGATTTTGAACTAGTTGGTAATGAAGATGGATCTGTGAGTGGTTGTAGTCCAGGGCACCACCGGTTGGTCTTATTTCTTTACTATCCATCATTAGTTCCTCCTGTTTGTCTGTGAATCCTGTAAAGCCCATAGAGCAAGCTGTTGAGCAGGGATTTGCACTAAATAAATGCAATTATTATTATTATTATTATGTATGGCTCCTTTTTTCTTCAATTGATCATTATTTGTCGATATGTTTCTTCTTCTTCTTACTCATACCGAAACTCCAACCTGTTTCCATGTACCACTTCCTCAAATATAATTGATGAGCACGATCAAGTGGTCTACTCTTGTTTCTTTTTTTTTTAAATTCCCTTAAGTCTGAATCTGCTTTCTGGCAAATTGGAACAGGTGTCATACCAAACGGATGTAAAGTTACAAGTTTACCACACATTCTTGTTAGGGGAAAATACTGTTTTGAGTAATTCCTGAGACTAAACTTATGAGTTAAATTTCAAAAAGAGAAAAGTAAAACTGATCACAACTTTGTCTTTCTGAATGCAATTTTTTTGTGAATGGAGAACCCTTTTTAAACAGTATCTGTTTGAAATTATTGTCGCATTGTATTTTTCCAGTGCGTGGGTATTTCTTCTTCGAAACTACTAGGCATATGTTACTTGTGTGGAACTAATGACACCAATGATTCCATTCTGCCTTTTCTGCGTTTACAGCATGGTGCTAGCTGGTTCCAGCTCTCTCTGCTTGCTCGTCTTGGACGTGATTGGATGGCTGACAGCCAGACAGTCGGCGGACACACTGTGGGGCCCTGCTCGAACATTCTGCCAACAGCCTGCTTGGATTGTCGTGTTGCTCACCTGTCTCGCCATCTCACTCATCCTTAAGGTGGTGCAGGCCACTAAGGTATACACGAATGGTTGGAGAGTGCCACTTGTTAGTCCTACTTTTTTTTCTTTCCCTCTAATATTTCTTTGTCTGTCCTGCTCTTTTCCTACTGTAAATGCCCACAATTGTGCTGATCTGTTTCTCTTTCTTAAAATGAAACTAACCTAAAGTAAACATGTCATTCAGTGTGGATTGTTGACAGATGCCCTAGTGTTATTTACTCCTTCTGTTTTATCAAACTTCTATCATTTTATCACCCTTCCTTTTTTTTCTTTGTATGTTACTCACTAGTTACCTTTCTAATCTTCGGCACCCATATGATCTGTTTTTGGTACAAGTGCCTTAAAATTCTTACTAAAACTAAACTAGAAACTAAACATTTCAGCTCAAAGAGTATAGCACAAGGAGAGTGCATAGTTGTCAAGTACTCTAGTGGATTATTCATATAGGTCCTTTGCTCTTGTCTTGTTGTCCGTGTTGTTGTTGGTCTTTAAGAGGCCAATTCATAGAAATATGCACATTACTTCCAATATTTTACTGGTATTTGAATGTGAATGTTGACGCATTTCTTCTGTGTCTGTGGTATATTACATGTACACTCAACGAAACCCATGATAAGATGTCTCTCATTGTGTATTTCTTTATGTTTACCATGACTATTACCCATAAAATGTACTTGGGAGAAATTTTGAAAGCTGTAAAACTCCTGTGAATCCCCAGGGCTTGAGCAAATTGCCTCTGACTCACGAGGAAGGCTCCAGTCGTCTATCCTTACCTTTACTGGCCAATATCGTCACATTGGTGGCTTTTGCTGTGGCCTGCACTCAGGGTCCCAGAGAAGCTACACTGCACGACTTGTGGGTGAGTCCTTAGTGCCAAGGCATCCCCAACAACTGATTTTGTTCCATGCTTGATTAATTGTGAATGTTTTTTTACACCTTTGTCAACTCATTTTAGATCATTTTGGAGGAAGGCTGCCCAACTGGGGCTGAGTGAGATACATAACATATCTAATGAAAACAATGGGTTTTTTGCTTGCACTTAGTGCACATGAATATCATAGCAGCACGAAAAGACTGGTTTTGTTGAGTTGGGGAGGGGGGGGGATGGAGGTTCAGACAAATATCTCAATTTGTTAATTTCTTAGTGATACACAGCTATAACTGATGTTTGTATGTCAAATTCTATTTTCATCAGTGCTGTGCTGCCACGGTCATCTTTGGCTGTCTCCACAAAGACTCCGTCATCCTGCCACGCCTGGATGGGGACAAACAGGCCACGCCCACCATCATGGCTTCCTTCTCCATCCTCGTCTTGGCGACCGTCCTTCGTTCGCGCTTCTGGGATTTTGCCTTCTACCTGTCTGTTATCGGAGGCTTCTTCGAAGTGCTCATGGCCCTGGTGTCCATCCCGATCTTCTACGTCATGTGGGGAATACTGTGGAAGGGAGAAGTTTTGTCGGAACCGGCTGTTGTATTTTTAACCCCGTACTCCTTCCTCCTTGTCATGTGTGCCACCTCCTACTCCGCATGGCTCCTGGCGCTGGCCACTCTGGTGTCTGGGATGTGGATGATGATGTACCGCCTGCCGATGGTGCCATACGGTGTGGATTATGAGGACCGTTTCAGATGATCGCAGTAGATGGGAAGGGGAGGAATATTGTAGACAGTAGGGAGATAAATGAAAAATTATGTTGTTTTATTCCTAGTCTGCACAGTTGTTTCTGTTCTTAGTCTTTGCCAAAGGGGACTACCTTATCCCATAACTCGCAGGTGTTAAACTCAAAACCTGTGGGCCACATCCAGCTAACAATCATGTAGGGGCTGCGAGAGAATTTTTGTTAGTCCATCCTGACCATCCCCAAGACACATAACCTGACTCCAAACGTAAATAAACTTGTTGCCAAGAGAAGATCACAAACATCCATCATTAACAAATTGGCTAAAGAATAAAAATTGGTGTGCTTTGATTTGTTGTTCAATAACTTTTGTTGGTTTTGATTCATATCAGTACAGCCTGCAAATTGAGGTGTAATTTGAGTTTGGTCTCCTGGGTGATTGAGTTTGACACCTGGCTGTAGACTATTCACAAGTGGAATTTTAATGCTAGTCCATGAAATGATTCATCATTGTCACTGCCGTACTTGCAAAGTAGATATGCTTACAATTTCAACAGATGATGTAATTTTCCTTTGAACCAAACCAAGAATAGGTCTAGATCTAGCATATATGGCTTTGGGTTTTTTTTCTATTTTTGAAAACTTGAAATCTCATAGGTAAAACAGTATTTTGATCTGTTCACAATTTATTAATTAAATTATCTTGTTTTTGTAGGAATGTCCTCACTAGTGAAATTGGAATCTAAATGTATTTTGGTATTAAAAATTCATACTCAAGATGATTCAAGCAGCATTTCCTTTTTCGTGTCACCCTCTTTAAAACAGCAATTTACATCATCATCATCACCACTGTCATTGAGACAGCACAGATTTTGTATGATATTGTATGGCTATGAAGGCTCTTGAGATACTACTTGGTACAAGGTTAAATATATTCTCTTGAACTTGCTTGGTCCTGTAGGGGAAGAACATTAAATTCTAAGCATGATGCAAATTCAAGAATGCCCCTTAACCCTTTCGTTACCAGGGGGTATGGATTCCCACTGTCAGCACTGATTTTCAGCTGAGTCCGTTTCCCAGGACGGCAGCCTATTGTCTCAGTGTTAATGGATGCACGTCTAGATCTGGATCTAGGGCACCCATGACATACTTCGGACACCGGGTCTTCGATTGTCACTTTTCTCACTTTTTTTATTCCCCATTTCCTCCTATCTTACGAAAAAATTTGAATAACCTGCAAATCTAAGTCAAAAAGTGAATTTATTTGATTTTTTAAAGTCATTTCAATGTTTACGTTTAACGAGAGCACGTAGCCACCCGCAAGCCTAGTTCTGTGTTTATCGATCACTTGCAAGCCTAGCAGTAAAGTAATACTAGAAAAATCTGGTACCGATATGCACGTCTTTTATTTCCAAATACGAATCTACACAGCGCTTGTGGCCAAAACTGTACAGAAGAATTAGAGCCAGGTTATTAGCGTAATATGCATGCAACATCATATCATATAGGCAAACTGGAGCAGCAAATTTTGCCAACTTCCGTGGCGTACATGGTACAGCACAGTGCAAAAAAATAGGCATTTTCATGATGTACCATGTACGTCATAAGGCAACAAAGGGGTTAAAAGCTCAAATATGGTTGTTGACACCATAGTTAAATATAATACGAACTGACCTAACAGTGTGCCCCACTTGTTTTATGATGCTTAGAGAAGAAATTAAGCTTTCTACTATTCCCTCTGCAGCATTTGAAATTTTGGGGGTTGTAAGAGTTTTTGGCATGGCCAGTGGCCCCAGCTTGCAGGCATTAGGCTTTTCTGTAGGCTTAATGTCTTCTTCAAGAGTCTCCTTTATAGTTTTTGTTATTTTATGTACAATGTGATGTGAGTGTTAGAGTTGAGTGGCACAGAGGAGTGAACCTGCAGTTTTTTTAAACATATATGTATATATATATATTGCTGTTGTCTGTGTGAGTGGACTTGATGGTCTGTTCCTCTGCTTATGTACTTTATGGTATTTTTGTGGAAAAGGTAAACTTCTGGAATGTCTCTGTGTGCATGTGAGTGTATGTATAATGTATAATATATAGAGGCATAAAGGAAAACTAGTTACAGCCTAAAATGACAGCAAAAATATCTTGAAACTGATTATATGATTTAGTTTTTGTTTAAATTTATGTTTCCATGGCATTTGGATGTTCACATCAGTACTCTGCACCATGATGAAATACAAAGTTTTGGATTTATAAATTTATTTTTTAAAATTATTTTCTCTTTGACTTACTGCTAATTAAGATTTCAAACATTTCACTATTGACTGTTGAGTAAGTGCCTGTAAATGCATATTTGAATTTATGCAATGGAGCAATGAACCGACTAAATATAACCTGATATCTCTCAAATCTAAAAATATTCCTTATGAAGTCATCAACTTGCTGTAGACTCTTGAACTTGAGCGCTTTTCAACTTTGAATGTCTTTTCTGTTGTGTGTCTTGTACTTTTGCCATTAATATAAAATGCTTCCCTCGGTCTGTTTTATGTTTTGGTTTATTTTTAAGCTCTAAATAAGCCTGCCAGTTTTTATATGTGATACACTTTTATTGAAGTTTGAACAAACTGTATCCTATGATGTATTGTTCAATGTGATCCAAAAAATGCAGTAAAAAATGTATGATCATAATTCTTTTTCATTGTCTGAGTATACTTATGTTTCTTTAAACTACTGTACTACCTTCTCAGTCAGCTTTGTGTGAGATCCTTTTTAGGGGAGGAAAACCTTTTTTTTGTGTTGTAACTTACTTATCATGCAATTCACTTTTTTATATTTTTTAATGTATGTTCATGGAACATACTGTGGTGCATATGGACTGTTTTGAAGCTGGTTCTGAAAGGTGTTAGATTTTATTGATATACTTTACCTTTACTTTTCCGATCCAGTGGCCATCTAGATTCTAGCCCTTCGGCCTGTCGATATGGCGAAGAATTTACAGGTTTTTATCAGCTGTGTTTTGTCGCTGTATAAAGTATTTCCAATATCTGGAGAGGCAGGTAGGTAAGTACTATGCAGGTCGCTAAATGCACAGTAGGAAAAGATGTGGTGTGATACTGTTTCATCCTGGCAGTCACACAGCGAGCAGTCAGGTGGGGTATCCTTGCGGATCCTTTTTATGTAGGAATTCAGTGGGATGTGTTGTGTTTGCAGGCGAAAGATAGTGACTTGTTCTCTTCTACTCGGATTTTATTAATATAACAATCTATTTTTCATTTGGTCTGAATTCATCTATGGTTCATTTCCGTAATAGAAGTTTAAATGTGTTACATGTACCAAATGTCATCTGCACATGATGTACAGTAGACTTAAGCTTTGCTTTTTAATTAAATGGAGCATGGTCAGAGATGCCATAGCCTTTCTTCGTACCTCTTTTGTTTCTTCCTGCGATGATATTTTTTAACTTAACCACACATTACCAAACTGTGTTTATTTAATTTTATCAACATCAGTTTCTAAACATATCACTGCAATTTATCTAGTCCCTAGAGTGGTCTTAGATAGTTCAATGTGAGTGTAAGATGATTAGGTCTCAGTATCCTCTTTTGTGAGCACCACATGAAAGTCAAAGTACTTTACTATGAGTGAGCCTTTTGTGGACTTCGTTATTTCAGCTTGTCTCTCTGAACAAATCCATCGGTGCTCCGTTCATCCTTCCTGAAACACACAAAGAGTATTTCTTGACTTATACTTCCTGTCAAGAATTATGTCAATGTGCTTCTGTTTACTCAAAGTCAAACAAACAAACAATATTTTTACAAATGTAGCATTGGTCAAAGTGTATCCAAGCTGCCATTGAACTTGTCTCTAAAGGGCACTACTGGCTATTGCCATATTATGACAGCTCTTGGACTGTCTTGTACATTTGCCTTTCCTCAATCGGATGCTCACCAATGTTTGTAGTATAGGGCATAGGTGCTTCATTTTGGCACGCAGGAAATCTGAGTTCTATTCCTGAGTGGGAAGAAATTTGTATCTTGGTCTTCCTACTGGGATGCTGTATCCCTCTCAGCCCGGCTGGTCCAGACAGGCAGGGTTGGAGCCCACCTCTTAAATTATCTAAATAGTGTCAATAATACATTAAACATAAAAAAGCAGATGTTCACAAAACTCGGAGTAAACTCTTGGTAATATATAATTAGTATTCTGTAATGTAACAGGTTTGTATGTTCAAAGTGCTGTGGCAGGTCTTTTGTTGACACCACTGGTAGGTGTCCTTTTAACTAACTTTTTTATTTTCCTTTGTTGTTTCTGACAATCCGCCTCCCTCTTACTATGAAGTAAGAGATGCCCTGCTTCTGTAAAAAGATTAACCATGTTCTTCGTGGAGTTTCAACTGTGTGTAGCCTACTTCCTTTATACTTGAGATGAACATGGTGGCAAATACGCTTTAGCCTCATCTTCGTCATCATCTGCCTCTTTCACCCTGGTATTGGGTATAGGCCGCCAAGAAGGGCTCTTCCCCTGTCTCTATTATTGGTGATCTTCTCTACCTTCAGCCAGCTGTGCCCCATATGCCTAAGATCTGCCTCCGGTGTATGTGGAAGAGAGGATGTTTGAGAGCGTGGGTGTGTATAGGTGTGTGTGTATACATGTGTGAATATATGTTTGTGTATGTGATAAAACATCAAACAAATGTTCCAGCTTTTGGACAGCAAAGGTTTATCTCATGTAGATCTCAGCCTCATGTATATCTCGACCTTCCTCTTTTCCTCCTCCCCTGGGGATTCCATCTTGCGCTTTAGCCTACTTTTTATGAAGATCAACTAGTGATTGGTGGAGACTCTGGTATGGTCTGCTTCTTCTACTTATTTTTTTGTGTTTCTATTGTCTTTGTCCTAGTCTTTTCCTGATGAAATAGTGCAGTTGTTGTGCTGAATGGCTGCACACCCAATAACGACTAATTAATTTTGTATTGCCCTGTCCTGGTGTTTACCATGACTTTGTGTAAATTAGTGTAAAGACTGTTCCAATGTTATGCTTTCTTCACCCATTGATTTTGTTCTCTCCTTTATAATTGTTGCCCGTTTCTGATCCAATTTAAAAAACTGCCATCTCCAAATTATATTTCATGTTTTTTTATGTTGTCTGTTTTTTCATGTTTACGTGTTTTTATATTTCATGTGAATATTTTATCTGGTTGTCGTTGTTACTGTTGTGATGTGGCGTCGGTAGCCAAGTGGTTAGGTGACCGGACCTGTAATCGTGAGTTTAGGGGTTCTAGCCTCAGGTCAGTCCTACTTTGTATCCTTGGGAAGGCACTTCACACGAATTTCCATGGCTTGGTCCTTTCAGAGATTGATATTACATTCTTAACTCCCGCCTCTTTAAATAACCCAATAGTTTTGATTGGGGCGTTAAATCTGTGTGAGTTCACATTTTTAAACAGCTGTGATAACAGTGAACTTTGTCAGTGTTGTATCACCTAAGTTGCGCGTGTGTCAGAATTTGGCTTTATCATTATCTTATCTTTAATTTGATGTCTCTTCGTACTTAGTCTAATCTAAATTGTATTTTTCTTCTTTGGGTAACGCAGCAATAAAGAAGTTTTGGAGCCTACTTGATACTTAAAGAAAGCTCAAGAGTAATGTAAACGGTAAAGAAACCTTTGAGACCGACGTCTGTAATGGATAGGTGCTGTCGCACGCAGATAACCAGAGTTTGATTCCTGAAAGTGGGGAGAACATTGTTTATTGAGTCATTGTATCTCGACGGTCCTTCGCTACTGGGATGTATCCCTCTCCGCCTGGGCTGGCCCTGACAGGTAGAGTCGGAAGTCCGCCCCTAAATTATATTATCCAAGCTGTGTCGATGAGGGCATGAAAACAGTCTACCTTAAACAGAAAAAAAGATAAAAACCTGCGAGGGAAAGTTTGTGCAGTTCCAAACCCTTGCCATTAGTGCACGTCACTTCTGCCCCCACGACTAGTGCAGCGTCCATCGATACATTGCTCGTTGCGCCAAGTCAGCACTGTCAAGCTTAAACATAATTGTGATGGGCCTCTCCCTAGGCTTCAGGCCTCTCCACTCAACACATGATTTAGCGTAACTGTTGTATGGTGCCGAGACCTGGACCGTGTAGCAAAGCCATGACAAGAAGCTTTACCATTTCTATACATCTATACATGAAATGCGAATTTTTTAAATAGTTTTTTTTTTTCTTTTTTGTGGGGGGGGGGGGCATCAAATGTCAGGATGAAATATCAGACACCGAAGTTCTAAATAGGGCAAATGCCGAGAGTCTGTTTTCTAAGCTCAAAAGGACTCTACTTCGCTGGGCTGGCCATATCGTAATAATGCCTGATTTCAGAATCACAAAGGCAGTGTTCTATTCTGAACTGCCCCCCAGGAAGGCGTAAGGTTGGAGAACCTAAAAGGCACTACAATTACAATGACACCTTGAAAATGTGTCTGATGTCTCTATATAAATCCTTTGGCTCGGGAGATCCTTGCTCCTAACAGACCCCGCTGGAGAGCAAAAGGCACAGTGGGCTGTAAATCATAATTGAGGCTTCAAGGATAAAAAAGGCTGAAACCAAGAGAGAAGCCGCAAGCTGGGCACGTGTTCAAAATGTGGCAATCTTTTCTCTGGTCTCAACGGCCACAGCAGAAGCCACAAGTCATCGTAACCTTTAATTATTTAAATTCTTCTATTTCGCTGGAGAAATATTCTCATCTGCAGATGTATTGGTCATCGTCTGACATTGACACGTGTGAGCTATATTATTATTAGACCTACTATTATTATGAGCTGATAACAGAATTTTGTCGTTTAGTTGTCGTACTAGTGTCGGTGTGGTCAAAAAGGGACTTAGACTCATGTTTAAATAGGTGTTTTACACCCTACAACCTACACCAGTAGACAGCCCAAAACGAACGGCCATAATTCTTGGCAGCTACAGTCTGAGTCCGGTTAGTGCGTTGCCTATATCATTTGGAATTTTTTTGGACCCGACATTCATAAATGCAGATCTGGAGCCGATACTCCAGAGCTCGTGAGCTCACGAACTCTGAAGAAGCACACACGCGTATATGTGTGTATTACAGTGGAGTCCACTTATAACGAGTCCTGAAATAACGAGAAGTGTGTTATAATAAAGACACTGTTCTAAAACCCCTTTCTTTCCGTTCTTTATCTTTCTAAATAAAATACTGCTACATGTACAGCGCAATCATACATACACGCGAGTCGGTTATAGTGGAATATTGCTGCTGCTGTGCACAGTGCATAGACCAATTTTAATCTAAAACCTCGTCAGTTGATAAACTTTTTGATGATCTAGTTAAACAAAGAATAGGAGAGCCCACGTGTGCCAACCATGAAGACCGGAGCGAATGAGAGTGGGGAGCGTGTGGCATGCGCAAACAGCATGGCAGAACGCATCGCAAGACAGGCCAGCCTAGTCTAGGTTATCTAGGCCTGCCATGCCTCTCACTTCTCTGATGCGGGAATGGAGAGGTCACAATGTCGCATGACGTTGAAAGCTCATAATGCACACACACACACACACACACACACACAAACACAGTCTTGTACGCGCATAGCGAACCAGTTTTCCAGGTTGAGATTTTTTTTGTAAAACATTATAATATTCAATTTATTTAGAACACGTGTTCAATTTGTTGTAACGGGTAGATCTACGAAGCGACATTCGTACAAAACAAAGAGATATCAGCGTACCGCTGACTTCGCTAAATATGAGCATGCAGGGCAGTATTTTTATCTTCCTCTTTCTCTCTCTCTCTCTCTCTCTCTCTCTCTCTCTCTCTCTCTCTCTCTCTCTCTCTCTCTCTCTCTCTCTCTCTCTCTGTGTGTGTGTGTGTATATATAATTATGCAGTCGAACCTGAGTAAGACAGAATCTCAAGGGAGCCAGATAAACAATTTTTTTTATTCCGTCTTAGGCTTTCTCAGTATCAGGCACTGTATCTCGGACGTTGGCTCCAGCATTGCAGAGGCCAGGCACGTAAGCGGAAGTCAATGCGAAAAGCGCCGATAGACAAATGCGGAAAGCGCCGATAGACAAATGCGCTGGAGCGGGTGATGGAGCATTCTAGCACTGTTCTCAGGTGGCTGACGATTCGGGAGGTGGCTGCGGGTTGACGAAAGTGAAAAGCGCCCCGCCGGGTGTTTGGCCTCGTACGTAGTACGAAGTTCCGCGACGTGACGCTTTGACGGGAGACGATTTCAAGTTACGAGCCGGCGCGACAACAAACGTGAAGGAATGAGGTTATGTCGCGACAAAACAGCAGTGAATCCCACTTGTCTATTTGAGCGCCTTCAAATCGGCAAGATGTTTTTGAATGTTGATACATGTTTGTTTGGATTTACTTAAAACTGAATGAAAATCGTCATCAGCAATAAACTTCTAGTCAACAGTTCAGTTAACAAACTGCCACTGTATATATATATATATATATATATATATATATATATATATATATATATATATATATATATATATATATATATATATATATATATATATACATAAAAGGGAGGAGCGGGGAGATTCTGTTTAGACAGGTTTTCCTTTTTCACAGGTTTCCGGTCTGCTAGGTTCGAGGGCAGAGAGAGAGAGAGAGAGAGAGAGAGAGAGAGAGAGAGAGAGAGAGAGAGAGAGAGAGAGAGAGAGAGAGAGAGAGAGAGAGAGAGAGAGAGAGAGAGAGAGAGATTTCAGAAATCGGCTCGTTTTACTGAAACTGACTTTAATTGTTTTATTCCATTCTTCGTTTTATATCGGCGGGTGCACTTAGTATCAGATCATTGCAGGTAGGCCCACGTAGTGATAGATTTTGCTAGACCTTCAAATTAATTGTTGAACTTGATTTATCTTTTCACCGTTGCTTAGCTCCAACAGGGCTCTAAGATAATCGGGCATTGTTTTCTCTATACTTCTGGATCTAAATAATATATTTTGATCATTTTCAGTTACAATAATATCTGGAAGCAGTTGAAGGTTATTTTCTAAAGCCTAACCTAAGTCGTTAAAATTCGGATGTTTCGGAAACATGTGTTGACAATTCAAAACTTCCGGTTATGTTTCAAGATGGCGACTGCCCTGAGATTATTATCATAACATCAACATTTCGAGCTGCATCAGGTGCGCACAGCATTGCCTTTTATCTTTGAAACGATTACTTAAGCATTTGTGATAAAAACGTGGGTTCTAGACCATATGTGTAGTGTCTTCATAAAAGTTAGTAAGAATAGTATCAATATTAAGATTTGACCAATTGTAATTAGCCTACCGGACCGTGCATGGCCGTGATTTTCTTCATTTTTATTTGTTTTTAAAATTTTTTATTTTTAACCTTTTTTGGATTCTACTCAATTTACTGTGCTGTGTATTGTATTGTAAGTGTAAGCAAAGTAAGTTAAGTTGAGTCTATGTAGATCTTGCCTTTATATAGGGCCTGCACGCTTCCAGGGTTTTAAGTTTGTTCAGCATACTGTATATACTCATTGTGTCCGGTTTGTTGATTACTTTGATAGTTATAAATCTTCAGTTGTGCCACCTACAAAGTAAAGCCTAGGGAAGATTGAAGAATACCGGACCACTTGTACATTATTGCGCGAGAAAGTGGAGTAGGTGGAGCGGGC